CACCTATCCTTCATTCAAATTGATTCCTCATTCATTGTAAATATTGGTTAGTAATGAGAGATTCAGCATATTTTAGTGTCAGACTACGACAGCAGTGTCAATGTGCGGTATCCTGCATTACAACTGAAAATAAGAAAATGTTGTACCAATCCTCTCGGCTTAAGCTGGTTTCAGAGACACTATTAGGAAATGAATAGCAGTTTCACAACATCATTTTATCATTCTGTAATCAGGTCAGAGGCAATCATACATGGTCATGGCTGCCGAGTAGATGAGGTCAGAGTTCCTCCTCACCAGTATAAGGTTATCAGTTTAAATAGCCTTAATAGCCCTCTCTGAGAGGGGAAAAAAAGTAGGATATGATTAAAGTAAAACTTAAAAGGAGTGTATCTCTTCATTTCTGGAGTTGCATGGGAATTAAGCATACAATATCCATTAAATGCAGTGAGGACTGTATGCCTAAATCATATTAAACTGTGGAAAGAAAGACAGGGACTATTCCCGCAGAGTAACTCTGATGGCGTAAGAAACATCACAGTAGTCCCAGAGGACTTTGTTGAGGGATGAGCCCTGTTGTATGAGGTGGTTTTTAACCTCGGCCATAGAGTAGCCTCTGGCTGTGGCTTGTTGTCCTCTCATGTATTACAGTAAAAGAACTAAAGTTTGGGTCTGCATTTGCAACTGTGGTGGAGCTGGGATAAGGCTAAGAGACCAGACGAAGTTTGAAAATACCAACAATTCATTCAGCACAGGGATTGATTCTTTATTTGTTCCTTTGTTTGTGACTAGTGTGAAAGCAACAAGTGCTGAATGCATCCAGCAGCTGCAGAATAAGGAACCTGCTAACGTTGTGATTACAGAACTGCTTTAAAAACATGTTGAAATACAACTGAGCTAAAATGAAAGAAAATTCAAACATGTTGTGAAAAATTATCTGCGTATCTCTTCCTTTTCTGACTGAAGTATGTTATTTATAAGTGACGATGTTATTAAAAACTGAGCACGGTGCTTTACAGACGTAAAAGACAATAGACCAAATGTTACTGCTACGCACAGCTGGAGCGTATTGATAAAACCAGCACATTGTCTTTGCTCACATAGTTTAAAGTCTAAATAAAGATATATGATCAAAAGAGTAAATGCTCAGCCAGGTGGCGGAGAAAGGGCGAAAGGTGGATAAAAGCTGTATCAGTAAGTTGTAAAATGCATAGTAAATGAGATAAATAAGGTGTTCTTGCTGCATGCCTTGCTCTTCAAAAAAAAAATCTATGTTTTTTTTGCGTTACGGAAGTTAAGTATATCCACAACAGCATTCAGAAAGAGAAGTAGTGACACTATCCCCAAAATAATCCACTCACTGCATTAAAATGAGTCGATACTCACACGTATTTGCTATACTTTCCTCTCCTTTTGAACATTCTTCAGTCAGAGAAAAGGATTGAGATTATTGGTATTAAATTATGCATTCTTGTAATTTGGCTGAACAACTCACTAGTGGGGTATGATTTACACAAATTAGTTCATTTTTCAAGTTTGTCTTTTCAAACAAGTGTTTTTTACAAAAATTAGCATTGCAAATCTGAAGTCTCATTCAAAGCCCAGGGAAGTTCTTGGAAAAAGTTTCTCTGATGTCAGAGAGAACCTGAGAGAACAAAGTGGCAACTTTCTCTTTTTTGGGGGGAAGGTGGCAAAAAAAAGCAGACAAGCAAGTGCGTGCTCATTAGTCTCTACAGAATAAAAAAGAAGCCCTCTTAACTGCCTGATAATGCAGAAAAAAACAGGTTGAGAGAAACCTTTGCTTTTGCATGATTCCAAGTGTAGGATTTGGCTAAATATTAGTTATTCCAATATAAAGTTAAGTGTGAATTTAAAGTGGCAAAGCTATACTAAAATAATTCCATGTGTTCCACTTTTTCCAGAAAAAGAGCAGTCACATATGGAATTGTTTGGTAATACTTTGTCTGAATAAATATTTTGGTAGCATCTCTTTGTAAATCAGCTCTTGCTGGGCTAAAGACAGGGAGATAAGGATAGGACAAGGAAGCAAATCTTTCATGAAGCAAAGAAAAAGTGAAAACAAATTAAAAATGAGCAGAACTTCACAGAGCTCTGAAGGACCAGTCTGGGGGCTGCCCAGAGCCTGGGCCGATGGTGTTCCTAGGAAATTGTGCTACCATTGTAAAGCAAAGAGCCCAAGTATTTAATAAGATTTTATGTTCATATTACAGCTGTGTTAAAAGTTCTGTGAATGAGAACTGCAACTTCACTGGCTAGATAGCTGCACTAAATGGAGTTATCATTTAAAAAACAAAAGCATTTTTTTTGCTGCTTTGTTACATCAGTAATAATTCTTGTGTCAAAACAATTATTTCAGTGATGTGTTCAAAAGAACAAATTATTATAGCAGTTAGATATAGTATAATGAATACAATAACTATTTCCTTGGAAGGAAAATGCTTTTTTTTTCAGATCTCTCAGAATTAATTTCTGCTGAAATCTCTATGTTACATAGTCAACATTAGCCAGTATGAATTAAAATTGTTCCTGCTGGACTCTTTGGGGGCAGAATCAGGACCTGAACTAGTGTATTTTAAGGGAGAGAGCTGGATTCAGGGATGAAAACTAAACGAACTGCTCCTCCGTATCCTCAGAACATGAAAACATAACGCAGCCCTATTACTCAGCCAGGATCTGTTCACTGGAAAACCACTGAGAAAGTAATGAGGGGGGACGAACAAGAGGAGGAGGAAAAGGTGAGAAGAAAAGAGAAAGAGGGCAAGAGCAAAAAGGAAAAGGGAATTTGCTTTTGATGTCACAGCTCTGTCAGCTCATGCATTTTTCATGATAACCAACTAGTCATAAAATAATGCTGCGATGGCAGTCCCAGCGCTAAAAAAAAAAGCCAAATTTCCAAATTTCATGATATGAGCGTAAAAATAATGACTTAAAAATATGAACTAAGGGCTTTTATTTCCCTTCTGAATTATGAGTCTTGCAGGTTCACATATTCAACTTTTCTCTCAAACTTGAGCTAAAGAAATGTAATTGTTTTTTATGAAAACATTTAATCACATCTGCAAAGAGGAAGAACTTAAAAAAAAAAAAGCTAAATGTTGCAAAACTTGCTCTGTAATTGTAGAGTTGGCAACACTAAATGTCACAGCCATAGCATACTGTATGGCTTCAATGCAAGACTATCCAAAAATACAGTAAGTGTGAGATACATTAGAGAGAGTTAACTAAATTTGCACATACTCTGTTTGCAAGAAATTGACCTAAAACTGAAAGTGAAGGCAACTCACAAATGAAAACAAACTGGTAGAGATTAGAGTGACTTGCCTGTTTTCTATCTCAGGCTTAGTATCTTGTAAACGCAAGGAGGATGAACGCGCAGGGGCAGCGCTAAGTGCTTTGGTTCCGGTCGCTTTCGAGGCGAGGCGCTGGGGCTGCGGGCGCAGGGGCCGCCCCGCCGGCCGCCGCGGCCGGGCCGCTGCCTGGCTGGCTCGGGCAGTGACAACACCCGCCGCACAGGTGCGGGGGACAGCACGACACCTCCGCTGGCACGGCCAGGGCTTTAGCTTGGAAGCTGCTACTTAGCTATCAGCCTCCAAGTGTTTTACAGGGGATTAGCTGCCCAGAATGCCTACAATTATTTTTTTTTGTGCTGGCAGATCTGGGCTTTATTCACGTGACGGGCTGCAGCAGATGGGGATTTCTGTGCTTCTACGTCTCTGATGGCCAGCACTCAAGACAAGTGAAACCTAAGTGAATTTTACTGCACAGAAGCTGCTACTTAGCTATCAGCCTCCAAGTGTTTTACAGGGGATTAGCTGCCCAGAATGCCTACAATTATTTTTTTTTGTGCTGGCAGATCTGGGCTTTATTCACGTGACGGGCTGCAGCAGATGGGGATTTCTGTGCTTCTACGTCTCTGATGGCCAGCACTCAAGACAAGTGAAACCTAAGTGAATTTTACTGCACAGCAGAGGCTCGAAGGTGGTAATGGGAGGGTGATAACGAGCGTGGCCGAGGCCCCCAGGTAGCCGGGACGCGCGGCGTGGCCGGGGCCCGCGCGTGGCTCG